ACCGGGAACGTACAACCATGTCCCCGAAAGAACGATCGCGCCTAAACGCGCAAATCGGAGGTTCGGTGAAAATGGAAGCTGTGGCCGCATCATTTCCGAGTGTACGAAAATTTTTGAGAAGAATATTACGTACTGGGATGTTTCTAGGGTGGTATGTAAGTACGAAGGGGATGCGATCACGTTGCTTGGCCCCGGTGGGTTTCAGAGCCGTTTCGCGGGGAATTGAAGATACGGCGTTGAACGCAGCGTCTGTGAAAGTGCGCAATGTTTTGTATACCTGGAAATATGCGATTTTTAAAAGGGAGTCACGATGGTTTACCTTTGAGCGAGTGGCGCTCAAAGGTTTCCTTCGAAGTCATCAGCTGTCTCGTTATTATTGGGATGGGCACCAGTCAAGCAGAAACACTGCTCTCGAGTCATTTCAGTTACTTTTAGTTTGGGGCTTAGGGCACTGGGCAATGGCTTATTTCTGTAGCGGAATCCAGGCTGCAGTTTGAGATGCGCGTGCGTGCATATGTCTGACAGCCCGAAACGGTTTGATCTTCAGATTTCATCGGGCCGCACAGGGTAACAAAAATTAGATACTTTCTAAATTCGGACGAAATTCTAAATTTGGATGAAATGCAATCTTGCATGAAATGCATGTCTAAGGAAATTTCATTCACATTTCAAAATGTGTTAGGTCTGCAAAATTTCTTTCGAATTCCGAAACATGAGTCTGCAAAGATTTATTCGAAACTCAGAAATATGTTTGGTCTGTAAATTTTTACTTGGTTTTGGGAAATGCATTCGATCATTTTAAAAAAATGCCCTCTCTTAAGTAACATAAGATCTAAAAAGAGTTCGATTTTTAAGAAAAGGCAATGCCATTCGGTTTCCACATTTTCTAGTCTTATTGGCACTAATTCTGATTCGTCACTCAGATAACTCAGTGTACCCTATTTTATTCAAATTTAATTTGCAAAAGGCTTATCGGCTTTCCCTATTCTTTTGAAGACTGTTTCGACAAGCCCTAAAAAGAAACAAACAGCTCTCAATTTCTAATCTCAATGCATCTTAAAATGTGTTCAGTGAAACTTGATCTTAGTAGTCTGAAGTGTATATTACCATATTTGGACGGGCTATTATGTCACAAATCTCATGCGATCTGACCAATCACAAGGCCTGTTCCAGCAGGCCATGCCGAATCGCGGGTGTTTCCATGTTAAGGGTGCTTGTCTTTAAACTTTGGAGCATATGGAACAAAAAAGAAGTCAATGAAAAATCCTGTCTTACAGACATCATCTAAACGTTCTAAAACAGTTTTTACCGATGCCATCTAAAATTATTCATTGCCAACTTTTATTGAACGTTGAAGTTGGACTGACACTCCTGTATCAGTAGGGACACAGAGAAAATTCACCATGCCCATTAGTTTGGTAACACTCTTGACTGCTTAGATCAAGTCTTAGCTACGATCAATCTTACGGGGAGAGAGTCATTTTAGTCTGTTAAGATGAGTTGCAAGATAAGACTAATTTTGGTGCACAGGTGTTAATTTTACACAACCCAGATAATTAAGCATATTCTCCTATTCTCCCTCTGCAAGTTTTGCCACGGTAGCAGTGGCATAAAAATTTATAAAGGTTTCTCTCACGGGCACTGGCCTGGTCTGAATCAGGTTTTCCACAATAAAACGTTGACTGAGCCCAAGACAGGATTGGGCTCAAATTTGCCCATTTAATTTGCCTGACAACAGCACATTGTTTTCGTTTGAAGAAGCAATGCGCTTTCAAAGACAATCAAAATGTCTCATCTAGTCTTGGGTCCAAGAGGCTTTTCGCGGTGCTGCGATCAATATGTGCGTGGTGTGTGATTCACAGTGCGTACTTCCTGTGATAGCGTTTCTTCCAGTGATGATTCTTGTCGTGGAATAAACAGGATGGTCTTGAAACCTAGACTATGTCTCGTCGCACGCATTCAGCATGCCAACTCGGTGCGCAGCTATGCGCTCGCGAACAGGTGATTTTGTGAATGAGTGTATTGTGGCACGCATCACCGCCGCAGGAATGCGCCCTGCTAACTAGCAGCGACCAGTGAAGACAGGTTGTGCGTGCGCGTTACAGATTTGTCGCCACCACTGTTACAGGAAATCGAAACATGAAGATGTCGTGTTCATGTAAGTAGTGCTAATATTTTGTAGGATGGTTAATAATCGCCTTCCTTCCCCTATTGTTGTGCAGCTAAATGTGGGGAAAAGGACAACTCTGTTCAGATATTACACGCATTATCTTTTTTTATTTTCTGCCACAGAAAATATGGCCGAGTGTCATAAATTGGTCCACGACAGGGGATGTGCACTCCCCGAAGGTACCAATACTTGACTAATTTGGACAATATCACACTCTAGATGGCGGCATTTTGCTCACCATTTTCTAGCATGAAGTCATATTACGTAGACTAATCTTACCCAAAACAGGCAAATAAATGTTGAGCCCTATTTAACCTTGACTGTACGTACATGTATGACTTCACCATACATAGGCCCTCCTAATCATGCAAAGTCACGGTTTACAGCCTCTTCAAAATTGAACAGCGCCCATATTACAGCAAATTGTGCAATACATGTAGATATGGATAAATCATTTACATAACATCTTGCCCAAAACGGAGCAATGAATGTTGAATCCTATTTAACCTTTACTGTTTCACCATACATAGGCCCACCTAATCATGCAAAGTCACGGTTTACAACCTCCTAAAAATTGAGCAGCACCCATATTGCAGCAACTCGTGCTAATACATGTAGATAAGGGTAAATTATTTGGGCACTACTTGATGGTATCATTGATGAACGTAATTGTAATGGTTATCATTTATATAAATGTACATTTTACTAGTTAAATTCGTGATAAAAAAGATTATTTTCACGTGGCCAAGTCACATTGAAATTTTGTGCTGACGTCTGAGGCCGATATGTCATTGAATTTCATGCTTTGTAATTCATTTTTCAGGCATCATTTGAAACTTTGATACATTTTCATTTCATTGTTTTATTTCAAATCAGTATTTTGACACTTTAAAATAAGAACTGTTTGAAAAGGGAAGGGAAGAGTTCCATTTCTGGACGCCAGTCACTGCAGTGACCTAGCCTTCAGAAAGCATGTTCAGAAAAGTTTAATTTAAGAGGGAAAAAACAAGTTGTTTACATACAGGTCGACTGTTAAAAGCAGGTTGGAAACCTTTTTTCAAGTTCTTTATAATAATGCCCCCCAAAAAGAAAAAACAAAACTAGATATACAGAAATGAAACAAAGAAAGAATGCAAACCCTACAACTTAAACAGTGCCTACTCCTTCATGTCTAATGTTGCATTATGTTACACTATTTTTTTCCTGGCATTTCATCGTTTGGCAATCGGCGAATTCGAAAGGCAAGCTGTATGGTGTTGGACTTTTTACTCAAAATATTGAAACTGAATGTTAAACGAGCTCAAAAATGGAAGATCAATGTCGCAATTTATCAAATTATTTTTTTCTTAACCCTAACCATGCCAAATCGTGACCAACAAGATTCTGTATGTATTGTTAAACTTTTAGGGTAAGGTCTACGTTTAGACAGCAACCAAAGGCAACAGCTCAAAAATTCGTTGGAGTTCTTTTCTCCAAATTCACTAGGCCTGTTTCTGTGTTGATGAAAAACGCGTTGATGGAGTTGGTCGCATAAACAGCTCGGGATTCTTTCATCCTCAGTTTTTCTACCTTCTTTATTTCTTCATGTCTTAATGTCCAGGGGTCGTTGATGTCCTGATGCCTCAGTGTCTTCGTATCCTGACATATAGGTCACTTGATGTCAAGATGTCTTTGTGTCTTGATGTCCTGATGTCTCGATGTCCTGGCGTCCTGATGTCCTGGTGTCTTGATGTCCTGACGTCTCGATGTCTCGATATCCCGATGTCATGGGAAATTGGATGATGACCTTGGTTGGATGGGACTGGTTGGAGTTCTTCCGTCCAAGTCACTTCCTTCCTCGGACAAAGTTCCCCTAATGTCGTGATATCCTGATGTCTTGATTTCTTGATGTCTTGATGTCCTGATGTCTTGATGTCATGAGGTCTTTGTGTCTTGATGTCCTGATGTCTTGATGTCTTGGCGTCCTGATGTCTTGGTGTCTTGATGTCCTGATGTCTCGATGTCCTGATGTCTTGATATCCCGATGTCTTGGGAAATTGGATGATGAGATTGGTTGGATTGGACTGGTTGGAGTTCTTCCATCCAAGTCGTTTCCTTCCTCAGACAAATTTCCCCTGATGTCCTGATGTCTTGATGTCCTGATATCTTGATTTCCTGATGTCTTGATGTCCTGATGTCCTGACGTCATGATGTCTTTGTGTCTTGATGTCCTGGTGTCTTAATGTCCTGGTGTCTTGATGTCTTGGTGTCTTGATGTCTTGATGTCTTGGCATCTTAATGTCCTGATGTCTTGATGTCTTGATGTCCTGATGTCTTGATGTCTTGATGTCTTGGTGTCTTGATGTCTTGGTGTCTTGATATCTTGATGTCTCGATATCCAGATGTCCTTGGAAATTGGTTGATGAGATTGGTTGGATGGGACTGGTTGGAGTTCTTCCATCCAAGTTGCTTCCTTCCTCTGACAATTTCCCCTGGTGTCCTGATGTCTTGATGTCCTGATATCCTGATGTCCTGATGTCTTGATGTCCTGATGTCCTGATGTCCTGATGTCCTGGTGTCCTGGTGTCTTGATGTCCTGATGTCCTGGTGTCTTGATGTCCTGATATCTTGATATCATGTCTCGTCGTCTTACTAATTGGCTGGGTAATTGGCTGGTGAGGGTATATGGTTGAGACTGATTTGTGAGTCTGTTTTCAGTTGCCCTATAGGTCATACTTTCGTGTTTGATGACGTGTTCGGGATGGTCTTGGTTTTCAATGGTTTTCTTCTTCGATATTTTATTAATGTTCAAAAGTTAGCAAGAAGATCCGGATATGTTTGAAAAGTGAATTTTTGTAGGTCACCTTATAGAGACGATTTGTTGATGCATGTGCAGGCTTACTCTGTATATGCAACATACATGTAGGTTACCTGCATGGTTCAATCTAAATCAATTTCAATCCAAATAATCTCATTTCATGGTAAACTACTGAAGCGTAGTTTCACTGCACTTCGATTGTCATTCACAGATGGGGCCACAATATAAAAAGCCTTCTCCTTAGTTGACGTCACAGATATGTCACCTGAATATGTCAACAAAATATTGAACAAATTTATATGTTCATCGTTCAAAGGTCATTTTCAAAAAAACTCAAATACACAAAGCATTTAAAACAGTTTTCATAGTTCAGATGTAAAGTGTCCTTTCGCAGTTATCAGCCATGGAATTAAAAAACCGGTCTTTCAATTTAAAAGTGTCCATCTGGACATTTATATAAAGCTATCGGCTGCATATTAAAGCTTGGCTATTCGAATTTGCATATAAACAAATAGTTTAAAAATGCAATCGAAGAAATCAAACTTGTATTTGGTTTAAGAATAAATCGTATTTCTTTGTTTTCAATTCGAAAGCATGTTTAAACTTTTCTAATTCACAAATGCTCTTGTTACCTGCTAATCTGATTGCTAAATTCAAGTACTACATATCAACATCGCGCATAGACCTTAGCTTCCAAAGGCATTGTCCAAGTGTCTCTTGAAATTGCAGATGATATAATTGATAAATGACCAGGTAAATTGCAACAGGGTTTCTGACAGACAGAAAATCTTGGCCAGAGTTGGACCACATTTTTCCAAACGAGACTCTGTCGCTCAAGCGAGAGAGCCTACTTTTGAAATGGAGACTGAAAGAAGTATAAAGAATTTGTATCTTTCTTTCAATAAACAAATTGAAAACATCTGCTGCGACGATAGTTAACACTTAAGTAAAATGAAAACAAAATCAAGCTGAAAATTCAAAAAGGAGAAACACCTTCATAAGATTAACTTGCATGCAATTTCATATTTTCAAGAACAAACAACTTATCAGAATGACCGTTAAATTAAGACGAATTTCGTAGCTTAAACTAAATGAACTTGAGAGCGTGAAATCTAATTTGGACCACGGTTACCACAGTAGAGATCATATTTGCTCAGTTCATATACTTGAAAATCACATTTAGTGGTGTTGTTTTCAAATTTTACAGAAAAAATTCTTAATGTCAGTTTTGAAACATTCCCTCCGAAAAAGTCATCCTGAATGCATAATATTTAACAACCGATAGAAAGTTTCCTTTTTTGTGTTCATGGCTTTTAACATGTTTCTCCATTGCAAGCACTGTGTAATTAGAATCTAGTGTAGAAGCCTTGATTCATGGGGTGTGGAACTGAACGACGATTACTAGTTGTATAATGAACGAGGAAATTACATTTTGGATGCCGAACACATGGTTCTACAAAGTCAATGAATTTGAATGTATTTGTGATTAAAATGAACGGGAAAAGCTACACAATATGATTTTTAATAGCTTCTCGCTTTCCCTTTAATAGGCTTCACTGTTCAAAAACTCATTTCTTTTTATGACACATTTGTTATCGGTGTTTTTTGAGCTCGTTTTCAATCCTACCGACAGTGTTAAGCTTCTTGAATGATCTCTATTTAATTTTGAAGTAACATGTTTTTCTTTTTAGTTTTGTTCTTCCATGTTCAGGATTGTATGACGTAAACTTTTGAACCAAGGAGAAATCACACGTCAGAACCTGATAAGTCAGGACAACTTTTTCAGCTGTTTGTTTTGTGTTTTGTGTTGTTGTGGTGTTTGCTGTTTTGTATTATTTGGGGGTTTGGATGTTTTCTAATTTTAGTCAGTTTTTTTTTATTTTCATACATTTTCTGCATGAAAAGTTTTCTTTCCTAATCGTTTCTTGTCTTTATCCTTACTTTATCTGTATTTGATGTGCCGTTTGAGTGAGCTATTCAACAGTTGTTTTACCATCAGTCGTTTTGCTATCATATACCGTCGTTTTTTACTGTCGTTTTTGAACTCTTGTAGCTTTTGGGGAGTTTAAGTTTCAAACCCTAGGTTCAGTTTGATTCCTTTATGTGATGTGGAGCTAATACACTTTGTCTGTTGTTCTTTAGTTTCTGTATTTTTATGTCTAGAAAATGGATGTACATGTGTGGAGCCTCTGGCTAGATTGCTGATCTGAGCTGAAGACACTGGTTCGTTAGTGTCGACAAGACTAGTGCTACAGTGAAATGAAAGGTCTGCTAATTTTATTTGTTTAATCAAAATATAATCGAACACACCTTTTTATCTGCACCCACTTTGCACCACCCACCTTGCACCCACAGTGGTTCGTGCGCTCTACCTGTTTTTTATCGGATACATATTTTCCGTCGTTTTGTCGCGTTCGTTTCCGCGTCGTTTCGCTCGGATTTGCTTTCGGATTCTCGTTTCGTTCACCTGCGGGATTTAGTGTTCTTTTTATTGAAGATGGTGTCTATTAATTCTTAGAGTATGAAATGTAAGAAGCAGGAGCATGGGAACTGAAGATGACTGGTCACTTTACAACGATATGTGCCTCACTGAAGGGTATAAGTTAAGTAATTAGCAAAACAGATTGGCTTGTACAGTTAGCAAAAGGTTTTACCTTTCGAGTTTCATTTTTCTCTTTCTATGCATAATGGCGTATTGTTGGCTGTCTTCATTATTGTTTTGCAGGTACATGTAGGTTTTTTTTAGTGTATCTTGAAAAAATAAGTTTATTCATTAAACATTCCATGAGCAGATGTTCGATTTCGTGGAGGGAGTGGACTGTTGACGACTGATCAACTCGAACAGCAAATAAAATTATGTGAGTTCTATTCTTGAAAAAGTCTTGCTCTTTTTTTAATTGTCTCTTCACTGTCTTTTATGGGTCATTCCTTATTTCTCAGGTAATACTCGACACTTTATTTTCCGTGGTTCGTGTATACTGCCATTGCTGTTTTATCTTGTAATTTCTTTTCCCATTTTTGTTTTCACTGGTAGGTTTTGTGCTTATGTGTGTCGTTTGTGCATTTTATGACATGATGTTATGTTTTTCTAGTTTACTTTCTGTCTAGAAACTGTAACCCGGGAGTAAACTGGCATTGATCGGACACAGGACTCTGAATGGTTTGTTTTTAAAATAAATAAATAAAAGTGTTTTCTCTAAGACGTTTAATCATCTTTCAATTGTGTTTTCATACCAGTTGTTTTTCTTCTTGTGGATGGCTTTTTATAACTTTGTGTTTAAGATGCCCTTGCATTTTGGTTTTGTTTATTTTGAGTATTTCCATTTAATTTTAATTAACGAGGAGTTAAGCTGATCTTGATTTTTCCCTCTCTAGTTTTCTCTTTTGATATCTAGGAACAGGAAAATGGAAGCATTTTAATAATTGAATTGAAGCAAGCTTCAGAGACATCAGTCGGTGCCATCGCTGTTGGAAATAATTTGTACACTCAAAGGGGTGATTTGGCTATTGGACTGATGATCAGGTTTAAGCACGTACCACAGAATTACATGAAGACTAAACAGAAAAGTGCATGTAACTAAAACTTATTCATAGATTGCATTCAGAGTGAAACCTTTTTGATGCTTGAAAAAGGACAGAGTTTGAATCTATAGCACATTAATGCTACTGTTGAGATGAATTTTATTGTTGAACATTAATTTGTTTGTATTTCTTTCCCATTAACTGCCAAGGGATTAAATGCCGGAAGGGTGTTATAACCAAATGGATGAACTTAAGATGACTATCGGAGATAATACGAATATCCAATCTGATAGGTAGTTTTTCTATGTGCTCTGCATTTTTAATGTTTCCACATTCTTGGAACTTGTTCCTTGATTCTTGCTGAGGGTACAAACTTATAGGTTCCATAGATTTTGTAGCGAGAAGTACCGGTATATCTTTGATGTTTCTGCAAAGGACGTTTTAGTTCCCATAAAGTGATGGATATAGTGTATAGAGGGATTTCATATTAACGCTGTCTGCGCAAATCGGCATCGAGACCGAGGCTCTCTGTGTTGAAGTTAGTCGCGTGCGCCCGCGAAGTCGACACAGTATATGTAGTATCCGGTTCGTAAGTGTGACGCCACTTCAGTTTAAACCACGCCCAGTGCACATTCAGATACACAACCTTCGCAGGTACGTTAGTTCGCGGTAAATTGCCGTTATTTTTTCTTTTGATTTTACGTGTCAAAGAGTAATCCTAAAAAAGACTCTTCCACAAAAATTTGCAGCCTGGAAAGTCTGAATTTAACATACCTTTATGTATTTTGTGTCTTGACTCTTACTTTCAACCGTCTGATCATATTAAGACTTGAAGCTGACACATACAGCCTCGTTTTCAAACGCTAACAGCGTCGTGTTGGAAGCCCTCTATATACTGTTTTTGTAAATGATCCAGTTTGATATTCCGACAGTGCATGCCCAGCATGATGACACGCGCGCACAATAGTCCGTCCTGTCAGTGCAGCTAAAATACGCTGAATCGCGTACGCGCTTTCTCGAAAGACCTTGGCTCTTTGAAATACCAAACTGGCTTACTACTCTCAAGAATCTCAGATTTTGGCACTCGTCGCTTTTGTAAGAAATCTAAAAATTTGTTTCAGAAGATGCTTATCGTGTGTGCTGGTTTATTCCTCCGTATATGTCCAAGAATGGAGACAGTCGAAAACAAAGCATAGGTCTACTCTTTTCCATCTTCTTTTTAAGTATTATAGCCTTTGCATTACGTGTTTGAGAATTTTGTTACGTAAAATTTGCATCGCTTTATTCTGTTGGCAATTCATTTTTCTCATGAAGTGTGCAACATAAGATTTACACATATATGAGCTGCAATATTACCACTGAGAGTCTTTTGTGATGTGGGAAAAGTAAAATAGAAAATTTATAAACTTTGAGAATGCAAAAGGCATGATGGTCCATGAAGATATGTTTTCATTTTTTGTGTGAATAGAGTTTCGAAGACCTCCTACCATTAGTCACCGTCGCCAGTTTTTGAAAGGGCTTTATGTGTGCATTGGGAGTTGATGGTCATCAGGCTCATGAGCTTGCTTCTAGCCTGCTGTGGTGTCACATACAAGAGATGTAAAAGGAGAGATTGGCTCCGTCTCCGTCTGCTAAGAACAAGACAACGCCGACTTCATTTCTGTTGTCAATTAGCATACTTTCAATAGGAAAACATTCAGACTAACGATGAACTTGCGAAATTGCCAGTGTTATTTTAGACTTTGTATTAAATAGCCCATTGAAGTTCCTGATGTTATATTTCGACTGACCACTGTTATATTTAAAGTCTATAAAAACTATGAGTAATAAGTAAAAGCAATTGTATATCGGTGTGGGAGCAGAGAAACTCGGATGAAAGCATTCATAGCAATTACCATAGGAAACCCAAAAGAATGTATGTGAATGTTTTATTTGACTTAGGCAAAACTCCTCAAAAATTTATTCACCCTAACACACCAACATTGTCATACTAACTATTACACCATCCAGCAGGACTAACTTAGCCTAAGGCAAATGAAACGTTCATGCTTGGAATTCTTTAGTAAATGTGTAAAAGCAGTAAGTGCCAAACTGCATTCACTGAATTTCAGTGTTCCCACTACCTTAATGTAATGTTATGTTATAGACTGATACCTCACTGTATGCCTGTTTTCTAGTATCCTTTGAGCTTGGAATTTTTATACTAGTCAAAGAATAAAATGCCAAGTAATTTATCGCAACACATTTGCATAAAGATTACATGTGTACCTGGTTTTTCAGCAGACCAAGATGCCCCTCTCATTTTGTTCCAGCTGATAATTATTTAAATATTTCAATGTATGGGTGTCGCCAGCAACAACTGATGAACGATGAACACTGGACGTCTACTTTGAGAATTTTTCCCAAGCAAATCTATACCGGGCACGAAATGGGACAGAGGGGTACCCCCAACAAGTCCAACCCCTATGCACGCTCTATCCTACTGTTAACATCTCCCTAGAAAATGAAAAGAATTCCACAGAGTATAACAATAACTGACACAAAGGTGTGGGTGGGTGATTGTGTGTGTGTGTGGGGGGGGGTTCTCTCGGTCCCATAGTTTGCATGGAATGAGCAAATTTGTGATTTGTTTTCCCCTTTCTTTTTCCCCAGGGCAGGGGTAGGACAAACCCCCCTGCATTTTATTGTGACGCCTATTTTATCATGCTATTTACAATTGATGTTTATCGATAACGGGGTAGTAGGCGTAGGAGAGTTTTGGAACAACCCCACCCTCCCAGGACTTCCCCACTCTCTAGACCGACTCCATCCTCTGGATTACGCCCAACCTCCGGGACTTCCCCCACCCTATAGACCGACTCCCTCCTCGGGATCACGCCCGGCTCCAGCACAAAAGGGGGCCCCCAACCGAAAATACTGAAAACCCCATTCTCCCGAATCGGAGGAATGAGGCTTCAATAAAATTGAGATTAAACTTTAATTCCTATGTAATAAATTGTACCATGAGTACGCAAAGAAAATCGCAACGTTGTCCTCTCTTAGCGGGCTTAATCGATTTAACAAATCATTTTTATCGGCATTTGTCAAACAACATAGTATAAACTTACTGCCACCTCGTAAAGAAAAGTCACACGAAACCGGAGCTAGTACGAGCGATTCGAGCGAGCCAACAGCAATTTAAAACATTTCACGAGGCAGTCGTATCGTCAGCTCTTACAAATAGCCCAAGACAACAACATACGCTTTACGGCCATAGGCACAAAAGGCAACGTACTACGAAAAGACCTTACTACCGCGATTAAAGCTTAAATTAAACCAGAAGCGATTGAAGAGGTAAACATTCGAAGAATCCGGCGCTTTAAAGGTAACTATTGAAATTGGAAACTGACGCCTACTTTCTTTGCCGACGATATGATTCACTTCTTCAATTCTTACAAAAAGTACATCGAAGACAAACCGTTGGCCGAGTTTAAATAGAACGACTCTTACAAGTTGCAAACGGCAATCAATGTCAAGTTCAAGACGGAGAAGTCCGTAGTTGAAACTAAACTCGGTGTTTTCACGTTTACAAGTAAAAACAACACGGTCATTTCTAAACAAGAAGTCAAACACGCGTTAAACCAACAAATAGCAAAACATCTCGAAGACGTCGAAGCTCACGAACAGAGAGGCTAGGGCTGGGTATTTTACAGAGTCGTCTCGTTTTACATTAACGTGGTGTGGTATAACATCGTAGGAACGACTTAACTTTCATTGCCTAAAGAATTGACAGACAAGAAAGCGATCATTAACGTCCAAAACAAAAATGACTCAGAGTGCATTTGCTGGGCATTGAGAGCTGCTTTAAAATTATATTCAGACAACGTAAACATCAGTTTGAAACTAATACAGATTATAAAATAAACAACGAACGCACCTCGACGTACACTACACACGACGGCTTAAATTTTGCAAAGGTGGACTTCCAACACCTATCTCACAAATTCCACGCATCGAATCACAAAACAACTTGGCAATTAACGTATTCGGTTACACGGGTAAGGATGGTGTATATATACTCCACAAAACTAAACACATTGGCGAGCCGATCAACTTGCCTTATTTTAACCGAGGTGAAACAAGTCGTTACTGCTGGATTAAAAGTTTTTCTCGGTTAATGGGTGACGTAAGCAATCACAACGGTAAATCGTATTGGTGTTTCAATTGCTTGTCCCACACATTCTCAAGTTTGAAAATTACAAAAATAAACAAGACGCCCCATTCATAATTTACGCTGATTTCGAATCTGTTTTGGAGCGCCTCCCACCAAAACCATTAAACACGGCCAAAACACAACACCACAAGCCTTGCGGCTATTCTTACGCGGTCGTTAGATGCGACGGCGTGTGTTCCAGTCGCGAAACATCGCGGGAAAGAGGCAGCCGTTCATTTCGTGCAATCGATATGTGAAAAACAGATTTATCCAACGAGAGAATGTCAATGCCACATCCCAGACGAACAAAAAAATAAAGGCTGAAAGGCAGCTTTTAGTTCCTTGAATGATCGCGGTTTCAGAGACTTCCTTTGCATGATTTGCGAAAAGCCCATCAACAAGTTTCGTAAAGTCCGCAATCACTGTCACGTGACGAGTAAGTACCAGGGCCCGGCACACGCCCATTGCAATCTAAAACTCCGAGTAGTACTAAATCAAACACCGGTCCCGGTGATTTTACACAATTTGAAAAAAATACGACGCGCACTTAATCATGCAGGGTAGTCGCGCGTTCAACGGTAATAAAGTTAACGTCATTGCCCAAAACACCGAGAATTACACTTCGTTTTCGTTTGAACAACTTGGGTTTCTAGACTCGTTGCTCGATCGATTGGTCAAAAACCGTTCTCCGGGAGATTTTAACCTGCTTCGCGAAAGATTTCCAAGAAACACGGGCCTGCTTTTAGAGAAAGGCCTTTACCCTTATGAATATATAGACTCCTTTAGCCGATTCGAAGAAACCGACCTGCCCCCTCTAGACGCCCTTTATAGCTCGTTGAAGCAGCAAACCGTAAGCATAGAAGAACATTCGCGGCCCAAAATGTATGGAAAACGTTTGATTGTCAAAATCTCGGAGACTATCACGATTTCTATGTCGAAACAGACACGTTGTTGTTGGCGTGCGTATTTGAAAACTTTCGGAAAGTCTGCAAAAAGAATTATGGCTTGGACCCGGCCAATTGTTACTCGTCGCCGAGGCTATCGTGGGATGCACTTTTGAAACGTTATGAAGTTCAACTAGAGCTATTGACAAACATCGACAAGCATCTCTTTTTCGAACGGGCTAAAAGAGGCGGCATCTCTAGCGTGGGAGCGAAACGTTTTGCCAAAGCCAATAATTCAGATTTAATTTACTATACGGCCCCAACATTCAGATGTTGTATGTCATGTATCTGAATGTAAATAACGTGGCACCCGAAAACATCTCGGTACAAAACGAATGGCTCTCGGACTATCAAAATGATTTGCTATCGAGCGGAGAAAGGGTTACCTCTATAGACAAGCTAGTTAACGAATTTAGGCACGAAACACAAATACGTGGTAGACTATCGCACGTTGCAAAGGTACCTAGAATTAGGACTTGGATTAAAAACGGTTCCTCGCGTAATGTCGGTTAAACAGGCGCCTTGGATGAGAGGTTACATCGACAAAAACACCGAGTTGCAGAAATTGGCCAAGTCTGATTTCGAAAAAGACTTTTTCAAATTGATGAACAATTCGGTAATTGGCAAGACGATGGAAAATGTGAGGTACTACATCAACGGGCATTTCCTAAGAGATATTCAAGACGCAGAACGGTACAAGAAACTAACTTCTAAACCGCACTATAAACCGATTACTCCGTTTAAAGGGTGTGATCTCTCATTCGTCGAAATGTATAAAAACAAAGTTGAATAAGCCGATTTACTGCGGCGTAAACGTGTTAGATTTATCACAGACGTTATTGCACGTTAAAGTCGGATGGATTCCATTTTAACGGAGGAACAGAATTTGAAAAAGGCAAAAGGAGTTACAAAAACGGTAACTCAAAAACATCTCACACACGAGGCTTAAAAAACCCTGTGGAAAAAAACCAAAATTTTAATAAATAACAGCTTTTCAGATCGGACAAACATCAATTATTTACAGTAACGCAAAATATGCTGAGCCTTTCGCCGGTGGACACGAAACGGTACATTTTACCAAACGGCATCGACACGTTGGCCTACAGGCATTATTGTATATCGGAATTCGGCGGTAACTTGGTGTCTTCGGGTACCACTTGAAGCTCTTCTTTCACAAAATAACGTTTGGGCCCGTCAAACAAGTAATATAAACTGGGCTCCGTTTTCACCCTTTTGCCATTGACCCGCTTAAATGACTCGTGCGTCTCTCGATTTGATAAACGTCGACGCTCCTCAATAGGATCGGTCGCCCTTCTGACGGGGCCACCTTTTTGCTCGTCCGAGTAATACAGATATCTAACCACAACATTTGGAGAAAGTTGTTTTTGGGAGCCTCTAGGGGGTGCAGCGGGCGTCTGTCTCACTGTCTCAGCGATTTTATAACTTGGGGCAGATGTTTGTTCCATTCTACGTTTCGCGTACCGACACTTAGCATTTCTTGTGCATATTGATATCCAAATAAACGCCTGGGCAACGTCCGATTAAACCGTTCGACGATTCCCTGCGATCGATGGCCTCCGGGTTCGCCCACTTGTATTTTGCCGTTGTGTTTGGTATGCAGCTTTTTAAACTCACCTTTAAATTGCAATCCCGAATCCACCATGGCAAATGTAGGCCAAGTTAGAGGTGACCTTTTATAAATCTGTTTAATTGCTTCTGACGCTTGCTCGGCCGTTTTACTCGTCAACGGCTCGGCCTATTTATATCTGGAATCCACGTCAACCACGGTTAAAGCGTATTTATAAGTTTTACGGTTTACTCGATCCCAGGGTAAATACAACACATCCAACTGGTGCGTTTCATTTGGTTCGGCCGATTCGGATTGCAGCGTCGTTGGCCTGGGTACGTAATCGGGGCGGGTAAATAAATTTGCCAGACTGGTTGCTTTTTTAACCAGTTTCTAATAACCGACTTGTCTGCACCCGTCTTTTGATGCAAGTGATTTACGGCACTTTCGCCTTGCCAGTAGGGCCGACGGCTGTAAAACAACTTTGAAAATTCTTTGTCCATTTTAAAATAAAGTTAAACTTAAAGTTAAACTTAAACTTAACAAAACCCTAACTAAACTTAACTACTAAACCTATACGCCAAAAAACCAACCAACGCGGTACCTCCCAAGATCCACACCAACTTGCGAACGTCTTGGTCTTCCGAAGGCACGTAAAAGTCCGACAACTTGGGCCCCGGTTGCAATGGCATCACGCTTTATCGGTCCATTCCGAATAAGCATGACACGCTTTGTCAACGTTGACAAATGTCTGTTGACTGGCGCATTCCTGCCTCATGCGTTCGTTTAAAAAGACCAACATGTGAACTCGCTGAGTTTTCCAGTCTTGTTTTGCCCGTACCAGTTGCTCCAAGGCCAAATCGTGCCGCTTTCTTTCCTCGTCTACTCGTTTTTGACTTACGCTGCTAAATAAAAAAAAAGGAGCCGTAAACGCCAATGCAATTACTATAGCTCCTCCAACCATAATCAAAGTACTCGCCACTTTTAAAATATGTCTTTTAAAACATGGAACAAGAAGTTAAAGACAATTTGATTGAAATTCAAACGGATCAAACAAACATCAAAGGCATACTGGGCGACATGACAGCCAACATCAATCACAATTCTGACGGACTTTTAGAGATTTAAGAGGTGCTTGACGAAATAAGACACGAAACGTTTCACAAGTGGGGTAAATATGAAGACCTATTTTTTGCAGCGGGCGTTTCACTGATTTTGTTTGTGATTCGTGAGTAAAAACATAGAGTATAAAATAGTCTGTTATAAAACATGACGAGCCAGTATACAAGAAAAATTGAACCCGAGTCGCAGGCTAAAATTGCCTCGGGCTATCAAGGGCGAAAGACGCGAAGTCGCCATTAATAATCCCAGTACAATCGCGGCCGGGCCCTTTTACCCCTCGGATTTTAAAGAACCGTTAACTTATCAGTTGACGTTTAATAATGACGACAAGTATGTCAAAGGTACAGGCACGTTTGGAGAACATTCAATTTCGGAGCTAACGTTGGAACACGAAGTCGTCACCAATCGCGATTTTGCAGAAAGTGCCCCGTTTATTATTTATTCGACCGCATTCACTCGTGGAAGAAACAGACTGTTAATAAATCAGACACGCTTTGGAGCATTAGCATTGACCAGAAGATTAAAAGCTTGAAAGGGATTTTGATCTTGTTTAAAGATCCGACCGTAAATAACCTGCAAGGATTTTACAACCCACATATCACGAAAACAAGCGTCACGGTCGAGGGTAAACCGAATCAACTAAATTCGCAATGATTATTTGAAAACCAACATGTTTGCGAAATTTGCAAGCATTTCGGAGCAGTGGCAAGACTAAATGGGTCTTGGATCTATTAGAAACCGAGTACAGGTTTGCGTTTGAAGCGATCGTGATTATTTGGCCGACGTTGTTTAAAAACAAAACGTATTTAGAAAAGTTGTGGGTATTTACAGACAAGAATGTTTATTTGTGTGATTTAGATCGAGAGAAGTTAGAATTAAATGAAGCCGTCGATTTATAACAAAAAGCTTCGTCAACAATGTCTGAAATACGTTGTAAATGCAAGCATGGCCGACAAAAATATCGTTGTAAAGAATATTACGGTAATAGCATTTGCCCCCATGGTCGGGAAAATATAAATGTAAAATTTGTAGCGACGCCATTAAGATTACAATTAATCGTTGGTTAAAAAATTACAAACAAAATAATAGAAAGTATAATTGTTACGACCCAAAAAATCGTCGACAGGGAATTTCTACGAGAATTAATTGACGAGAATGACAACTTTAAAAATTGTTTATATAAATAGATAACATCAAAAGTATTCTCGCCAATTCAAAAGTCAAGAATCTGTCGAACACAGGGCCCAATTTCAAAGACAGATTGTGTTCAGTCGTTGTCTCGGGCGAATCAAAAAAATATTTAGGCAAAGAATACTCCCTAAAAGACATCGAGTCACAGGAATCGCGCTTGCGCTGTTTCTGAAAAAGAAACACACCGAGGTATAAGTGCCACCTCCACCAGTTCAAACAACAGCTACCGAGCCAGAAATTTTGAATATGGAGTAATTTTTAAACCCACATATAATAAGATGAGTAACGCTAAATCGATTGATGTAAATGGTATTGCCAATACGGTATACCACGGAGCTGTTATTAGCCTAATTTCCATGGGATATACCATTCTTAGTAATAAACTACTTAAAATGAAACTGCTGGATCTAAATCGGTTGTATGTCGAAGACGCCGCGAAATTGACCGCAGTGTCGGCGGATGCATTGGCCACACATTGGCCACCAGTTGAAAATCGGTTTATTATAAAGATGGCAGGAGGCTGATTCGACCCCGAAGAGGTACCCCTGTTGGATCGAGAGGAGGAAAATTTAACGTACGATTATGACGACATTGACAATGAAAATTTTGACGACGACGCAAGAATACAAACGTCATTTATTCCGAGCTCAGTTAGACCCAAATTAGAGGTTGGACCTAAATATGATATGTCAGCATTAGGTAAAAGGGCCTTTATAATCAATCCTAGGGTAGACAGTTTCTACGATTATTACAGGCACGCCGGCCGAACAGACGTACCAAAATCTCCCCAGTACGAAATATTTGAATATCGAACAAATAGAGGTTTATTCTTCAAGGGCATGGGTGATAAATATAACGAGGAAGTACTTTTAAGGAAGGAAGTACTACTAAGCATTCTTAGGTCTTTGTAACCTAACCTAGTCTTCTGGACGTAAGTTAAGATAAAGACTGAAAGTTAACTTCCGTTTGGGGTTTATAGCTACTGCCCTCCATGACGACCTGTGGCGTTTGAGGTAGTTTCTAAGCCGGGCTCTTCAGAGGAGGGAAGATAAAACAAACTTTTGAACCACTTTCGTGGCCATCCAAACACAGCAATTTTATCGGAGCCCAGTAACATGTCCCTTGGAAATGGTTGCGCCCGTGTGGTTTCCACTTACTTGCAGCTCCTACGTGCTCTCCCTTCCAAAACGACCTGTGGCGTTTGAGGTGTTTGGATACTATATGCCGATGATGGCGCTCTTCAACAGGCCACTACATGTGTGGCGTGTGAGCCATTATCCGTACATGTAAGTACATTGGGAGATCGATTTCAGGACGTAATAATAATAACATTCTTTTCATATTTGTTTTCTGAGTTTTTGAACTATCTTTTTGATTTTTTGGACCTATGTGCATACAAATTAGAGACAAACATTTTAGGACGATGATGATTTCGCTCAAAATCACTGAGAGTGTCAGCTTCAAGGACTTCGGCAAGTTATATTTTGTATTCAGCAGCGCCCTTGTGCGGTATGCGACTCCTTTTTCTGAATCCATTTACATTGAAGAGGACGATCGACAGCTGGCGCTTGAGAAAATCATTTAACCGTGTGACACATTCCTTGCTGTCAGTGCAGGCCTTCATGTATGTTTATTTTCCTTAAGACTAAGTACAGCCGGAGAGCACTGCAGTCTGTTTATGTTTTCAATTTTTCCTCAAAAATCTGTAGGTAATTATTTATAATCTGCTCTATATTTGGAGGCACCCAGTACGATTTATATCTTAATTTGGATTCGCGTTTTTCCAATTTTAATAATTTTTGTCCCCTGTGACAGCAATAAATGAGAGTAAAAGAAATTACTAGGCCTATGTACCACAGTTCTGACCTTTAGTTGAAAAAGTTACCCTAGCACATACAAGGACCCGTGGAAAGTTGAATAGAAGAAGTAATGACAACATATCAATTATTTTTCGATAAATTATCAATTATTTTTGTGACGGTAGGTGGGTGGGTTAATTCGGGCACCATCGTAAAAATCTCCGGGAAAGGTATGCCGCGCCCTCAGGGACTATCAAATTTTACGCAGTGTATTACGCATTATTACTGTTCCGAATGACTTGGCTACGGCTGGTTTTTGACACACAGTCTATGGAAAATAGATGAAGCCGCTAGCTGACGAATGCCAATATGTACGTGTGATGTATGGCTGTAGCCAATTGAATCGGACACACGGGCTAAGCCTGTGATGGGCAGAAAACATGCGCAGAGAAGCTATTCTGGGAATCCAAAATGGCGACAGGTTCTGGGCGAAGATGACAGCGGATCGCACGGAACATGTAAATGACTGAAAAGTGAATTCATTTGGGATCCAGAATATGGCTCGCCTTGCGGATTACTTCGCTGTTGTTGGCTACGACCATGAAAAAGAACGTGAGTTAAAATTTTGTCTCGTTCCTCGCCTACAGGAGCGCTCAGTACACTTGGGCGTTTGGCGACTTGTCCTGCCGAGTTGCTTCTGTACGCAGTTACTGAGTCTGGCAAATGCGTTACAGCCACAATACATGAATTGTGGTCCAGTTTCTGGACACTTACATAGATTTTTTTTCCATTCTGACTAATACATAAGGGACGTTTAAATATTAATTAAACACAGTGAATCAGAGTTAAAAATATTAAAATAAATATTAAAATAATACTATATAGGCCTTGGGCCTACAAGTAGTACATGTATGATGTATCATAGGCTACATGTATGTGATGTGCTTTTATTGGGCTGGTAATAGCCCTACTACTAGTGTGGCACGGACTCTCATTCCCGATCCATCCTTAGCCACACATCCGTATGCGCAATTTCGTGTCGGTGTACTGAACATTTTCGGCGCACCCACTTATCATCGTGGGTGCAATTTCTTTTGCACACGAAGATGATTCTTGACCTTTCCGCTTTCTAAATACTATTATTGAACAATTTCACTCACGTTATTGAGGTATTTTCCAGTCTTTTCGCCTTTATCCATTCAATCAAATGGGCCGGCTCTCCTAGTTGCCATCTTTAAAATAAGATCGTTGAACAATACGTCACTTGACCCCTCATCGTTTCGACGGCTGTTCCATGTCAAGACATCTGTAATAAACAGACTGAGCGATAAGATACTACATGTACCAATGGGCTCTTCCAAAACTTTGGGTCATCTTGGCCTGACAACCAACTGTGTACACACTGCATATTTGTGCTGTTAAATCAAAGGGAGGTTAATTAAGGAACCATTACTCAATCCTGATAGGCCCAGTTGGAATAAATTTTGACAATCAAGAAAACTTCAAATTTCTAACTCAAGTTTGGCAAAAGACAACCACTCAGTCAAATCATGCCATTTTTTTTTATCTGGTTACCCGACTTGGGCATTTTAGATTCATCAAAACAAATCTCCATCCAGGTCAAGGAACCAGACTACATTCGTTTATTTGTCATTCATAGCTCTTCGGGGCAGTCATGTACGCTGCCGTTTTACCCAAAAATTTTCCTGAAAAACCAAAAGCCCTGTTCTCTTTACTTTCTGATATGAAAAGGGACGTCACCAGCAACTTGTTCAGATGAGTTGTTTCGGAAAAGTAGAATTCGTTCCCTTATAATAGTAACAGGGTGCTAAAGGTAATGAACCCCACTACGTTTGTGTGCAGGGTATCAAGTGCTGAGTTGGAACTCGTTCTGTATCATATCATTATACCAAAACTTTATAATGGGGCACCTTAAGGGGGTTTTTAGCTAGCAAAAGGTGTTGGTTCCAAGGGAGGGAAGTATTAATTAAGGAAGGTAAATTTGTGTACAGTGTAATGCAGACTGAGACCTCAAGTGCATGAAATTTAGGAAAATGTAGTTGAAAATCAAGCTGGTGTGACTCGCTGTGAATTGGTGTAAAGAATGCCATTTCTCTAGTTCTTTTTGAGGCAAAGAGAAGGTCTTTGGTATTTCTCTAGCCAAGTTTGAGGTCACCGTTTAGATTCTTAACTTGGGAAAACATATTTCAGATCTGTAGACTTACTGCTGGTTTGTTGTTGATTAAACGAAAAATGGAAATAGAATGTGGAAAAAAAAGTAGCAGTTTGATTTTCAAATCACAATGGACAAGGAAACAATTCATCACATTAAAAAAAAACACCTGCCAATGCCCCAAGATGTTGCAGTTTTACAGCTTGAGTCTGAGTGGAGGCAGTTCCTGGTGTTGACTTGTTTACATTCTTGTATGGGAATGAGTCCACTATTCATTATGCATGTACATATGTTCTGTTTCATGAAGCAGAAGGTTGATTTCTTCATTCGTCACACTCAATTAGACATGAGGTACACAGAAGATTTATAAACAGTGGGAGTCATCATTGAAATATGCTTGATGGTATGATTAATACAAGTACATGTAAATGTTCAGGTACACTGTACACT